ATAAAATTTTTAAGAAAGTTGAATTTGAGGCTAGTGCAAAAAATGCAGACTTGGCAACTCCCAACTTTCCAACTTGAGAATTAAAGACCAAGGAATGTTACTTTTGCCAATGCTCCATTAGGAACTAATAAGAAGATACAGGTGATAGTAAATGATACGTTAAGGAGGTGTCTTGGGTTTCCACCTAGTACCCCGATACACACCAGGTTTGCACTTGCAGGTGAATTACCTCCGTTGAAGAGGGCTGAGTGGCTTACTGCTAAGGAGCTAAGTAGGCAATGGATGGTTAATAGTGAATTGAGAGAAGATTTATGTAATGGTTTAGTTAAGGGGTCTAGTTATGGACATGTTTTTTCCAAATTTAAAGTTATTTTTGAGAGAATTAATTTTAGTACGTGTTTTGAGAGGCATTTAGGTTTGGTTGTGAGAAGGTCTAAATTTGATGTTTCTAGAAAAAATGTTTCGGTTGAAAAAATTCGGGCTTTATACATGGAGGAAAGATATAGATTGCAAGATGAGGGATATTATCTACTAGCAACTGATGCTTCTGTAGTGGATGATGCGGTTGGTGTAGCGGTTCATGATGTTTGTGAAATGACTTCTTATCTTTTTAGATTATCAGAAAAATTTTCTTCTACATTTGGTGAGCTGGTTGGGATAAAAAAGCGATTTGGATATTTGAAAAATTGAATGTTGAAAAGGGTGCTATTTTTACTGATAGTATGGCTGCTATTGATGCTCTTGATAATGATACAACTGATTCTTATTTAGTTGCTGAAGTGCATAATGATATTTTCAGGTCTAAGTTGGGTTCTGTTCAGATTTTATGGGTTCCGAGTCATGTATCACTCAACGAATGAGAGGGCTGATGTTGCAGCTAAAGCGGCTGTTAACAGAGGTTTTAATATTGATGTTCACCTTACGCCTGGTGAGGCTTTGATACGAATTCAAAATTTGGTATGGCAAGAATGGGAAAATGAGTTTCTGAATTTAAGTATGGTTAAAGGGAAAGCCTTTGTAGAAAATGGGGGTGGGTTGAAAAAGAGGCCTTGGTTTAGGGACAAAAAATGTAGTATGGATGTATATGACATTAAATTAATGAATAGGTTATTAACGGGTCATACGTATGGCATAAATTAAATTTAGAAGAGGTGTTAGTGATCAGTGCTCTAGTTGTGCGATTACAGAGACTTTGAATCATTTAGTTTTTGAGTGCCTTAAGTACACAGCTGCCAGGGCTGATCTTTCTTTTTTTAATAATTATGCTAGTTTAAAGGATACTTTAAGTTCTTATAATATTAATGTTTTTAAAGGAGTAATCTCCTTCCTACACAAAGCAGGTTTAGAAAGAAATCTTTAGTTATTAAGGATTTTTATTCATGTATATGTATATGATTTGATCTGATATTTTGATTGTTATTTAATATAAAAAAAAAATAAAAAATTAAACAAAATAAAATTAAAATTAATAAAAAAAATATATAACAAAATATAAAAATAAATTAAAATTAAAATAAAAAAAAACAAATGAATATATGAAGAGAAAAAATTAAAAGAAAAGGTAGATTTAAAAAAAAAATAAATAAATAAATAAAAATAAAAATAAAATTTAGTTTATTAAATTGATAAGAAATGGAGTGATAGTTTATTTTTAAAAAGATATATATATATATATGTATTTATAATATAATGTTTAAAAAAAAAAAAAAAGAACTTAAAAAGATTTTTGTTAAGTTTTGATTTTTAAGTATTTATATGATTATTTTAAAGGAAATAACTAATATGAATTTAAAGGGGTAAGGGTTTTTTTTTAGTTTTTATAAGTATTTGTAGGGCTGCCAGACGTCCCGGTTTTCCCGGACATGTCTCGGTTTTAGACTATTTGTCCCTGTGTCCCGGTCCAACCTTCGTTTCGTTTTAGTGTCCCGGTTTTTGATTTGATTACAAAAATTTGAATAAAAGTTCAAAAATCACTACACTAAGGGAAAAAACGCGTTGTAATATTCAGAAAAATGTTATGAATTCACTGAGGGAAATAACGCATAGCAAACATGAATATTTTCTATTTGATTATCGTTTAAAAATGTTCGTATTTAAAAATACTACCTTCATAACACGCACGCGTGATGTTGATTCAAACTCAACATTAACAAGTCTATTCTGCACGTTACCGATGATTTTGTAACCGGAAAATTTTATTACAAAAAAATGTTACCAGTTCTTGTCACCGCGATTCTAGGTACGTTGGTAATGCAGTTAAAATATTCAGCAGTTCAGCTATAAAGAATTGTGCAAACTCTGGCATTGCATATTTCACGGGGCAATACTTTGTTACCAGCTTATGAGATGGAAACAAAAATTACCGGTTACAAGAGTACCCAGAATGCGAAAAGGGTTTAAAAGTTGACAGGAACTTTATTTACCGGTTACAAAGTTTTTATTACCAGCGCAGAATAGACATGTTAAACGCACATTTACATGTCTGGCTGTAGCTGAGTGCGCGACGATGCTTGCCACAATTTGCTAATTTCCAGAGGGTCAGGGTTCAATTCCCATTACAACCAGCATGGAACTTAAATATTTTTTTTTTTTTTTTTTTTT